ACGAGTCAACAGGTGAAAGTCCCGCCAGAATCGTTTTTGGAAGAGAACTCAGGTTACCTTGCGATCTGATGTTTGGGATACCTGAAGAAGAACGAAAAGAAATTCGAGACTATGCCGACGAAGTAAGGGCACGACTTCTGGGTATCCATGATTTTGCTCGGGAGCATATTCAACTAGCCAGTGACCAGATGAAGACCAGATACGACCTGAAAGCCAATTCAGCTGGATTTCAAGAAGGTGATTTGGTGTGGCTGTATAATCCAGCTAGAAAGAAAGGAGAATCGCCGAAATTGTCTTCAGCATGGGAAGGACCCTACAAAATAATCAAGAGGATCAATGATTTGGTGTATCGAGTTCAACGCAACACCAGGAGTAAGATGAAAGTTCAGAAAGTTGTACATCTGGACAGGTTAACGAATTATCATGGGCGTGAAGTTGATCGGGACGATCAACCTTAAGAGGAGGGCAATGTGGCGTGGCGTTCGCCAGGCTGTCAAGAATCTCAGTTTCGATGGCGAAAATGCTAGAATCTAGCGAATTATTCTACTTTAATCTGGAAAATAGGATTATAGTGTGTATTCTAGATTTTACAGGAATAGATTTAGGGTATATAAGAAGGCCGGCATTGGTTTGTAAGTTAAGTTAAAGTTTGACTGTGATACGATTTAATTAGTGATTATTGCGAGTTGTAAGAGTTTAATTGTTGAGTTAGTTATTAAAGTAATTAGTGTCAGAGTGTATTGTTAAGTGGAATAAATTATTGCTGTGTTAATTGGACTTTGATTTTTGGAATAAACGAAACGAACAACGAACCCAAGATTTCTGTCAGGCAATCCAAAGCCGTGACACTATTTATATTGTATCCCAGACTTTGAGCATTTAGTCCAACCTTCATGTTGACAAAATACTTTTATTGGGCTATATCCTGGGTTCATTTTTCGAAATCGAGTAGCGGTAAAGTCTACATTTGATAGATTCACCTGTAGGTTATCCTATACTTTTCACAATGTCTTCCACATTTTCATTGTCTTGATTTGGAATACCATGAATCGTAATGTTTTTATTGAGTTCTTTTCGCTCTGTTTTATTCAACTGTTCTTTGATTTGCATTAATTATTTCAAATTATTGTTAATTTCAACCTGTTTTATTCTATTTTTGATTAAAGTGACCATCCGTCCCGATTTAGGCGAGACAGCCCCGATTTCGAGCTACGAGTCCCGATTTAATAGGCGTCCCGTTTTTGTCCGGCTTTCAATAAATTCCAACTACATATCAACTTTTTATTATGCATTTATTTTAAATCAAATTAAAAAACTATTTCGTTCAATATAATATTGAAATCTATAAGTTTTCGCTGATCCCACAGCTCACAATAGTTACAAGCATTAGCGTAGCGTTGAACTCTGCTCTGGCATTTTCAATGTCCTTCCCGGTTGCGTCTTTGTGAAGGACTGTGAATTGTTTTTTTAAATTTAAATTTGTTATTTTTTTTTATCTCATTATACATATATTTCGTATAACTAAATAAGCAATTTTATTTATCGCTACCCAGATAGGTAGGTACCTACCCAAAAAAACTAAAACTGAAAATGAGAACGAGATTTTTGAGAACTTTGTTCCAAGGTTCCTGAAGTTCATAGGTAGTCTGGTAATGGTAAACAGATGACGTCATCAGGAAGATTTAATGGAGATTTGCATTATGCTTAGGATGACGTCATAAAAGTTATCGGCAACCTACCTCTTTCAAACAACCTTGACTTTGTCCCACTTTGGGAGAGCGTTCGAAATCACCCTGGGCGTCACACCGAGTGCACACCAGCCATGAATAATTAATAGCTGGTGTGCACTCGGTCTGACGCCCAGGGTGATTTCGAACGCACCCCTGGACTTTCAAGATCTGGTCACTTTATTTTTGATCAATGTGCTAAAGCTTAGCCATGTACCAGGCCGGACCTTAAACCATTAGTATACGTTTAGTTCTTTATGTAAGATTGTATTTTGTATTTATTTAGATTGTTTAGAATTAATAATAAGTTTATTATTGAGGAACTATTTGTTGTGGCGCGCGTATGAATATCAGGTCGGGGTGTCGAATCGCGCCAATCGCAGGAAAGTGCCACCTGGTGCAAGGAAACGAAGAAGAAGGGAACGGACAGCGGGACTAGCGGGAGTTGGAAGCGGAGCGAGCTGCCGATCGGTTGGTGCGTGGTGGGAACACAAGTATTTATTGTTTTAATCGGCCGGTGCGTTCGTTGAATTTCCGAACTGTGAGTACTTACATCATTTACTGTTATTTCGACGTGATAAACTTGAACAGTGTCGTTGCACTGGGTTGGTGTGCACTTTTGACTTGAATCTAAATTTGTTTTTAGTTATTTTCCTCAACTATTACCTACTTAACTGACACATTATTATTGTTATTTTTAATAGAGTAAATTTTGTACAGTGCCGTTCGCACTGAATTTACGTGCATTTTGTTTAAGGTTTAAATTTGATTTTAGTTTTATTTTCTTTATTAACCATGACTGCAATAAAGTCAGTCAAGTTTCTTGTGTTTTCATTTAGCAAATAGATTTATCTGAGAAAACATTACATTCGAATATGCAGTTTTATTTTTATTCTACTTGACCCTTTTTAAATCAATACCTAAATATATTTTAGCACATAAATGTTACTGCCATTACGGCAATAGTGTAGGCGGCTGGTATTGGCTCGCTTCCTTTTTTGGAATTATCGTTTTCAATAACATTTTTGCAGCTATCACATGCCCACAAATCTTTTGATTTTGACAAATTCTGGTAGGTCTTGAGCCCCATTGACATGCAAGCCCTATGCTTCCAGATCTTACAAACATCACAGAGAAGTGCTTTATCATCATATGATACCATTTTCTTGCATAAAGTTGCATATTTCGTTTTCGTTCATTTTATTATTTAATTATGCTTAGAATTTGCGTGCGTGCAGAGATTTGGCAACGTTGCGCGTGAATCGACAGTGGATGCTAACCTGTTCTGGTAAAGAAAATAACCAACAAGGTGTTGAATCCTAATTTTTTGTGAGGGTCTTTCACTCGCACAGCTTTTATGGAACTCTATATTAATTCACTAAACGCAATTTTTGGATAAATATTTCGTTCAAAAAACTCAGACTTTCACCTAATAGCCTTCCCCCTTTAAAAATCAGATTACATGTACAGGGTCATTTTTTATATTTTCCCACCCCCCTTAACTTTTTTGTGCCACTGTGTATAAAAAAAATTTAAATAGGAAAGTAGTAGTGCTTGAAAAATAGTTCAGAAAACATAGTTTTGTTCATACAGGGTGTTGCAAAAAGTTTAAAAAACAAAAAACATTATTTTTTTAAATGGGACACCCTGTATATTATGACATTTCTGGATTCTGACAGTAGAAAATTGACTTTTTTGCATCTTTGACAGACTTAAAAACCTAAACGGTTGATTTTACAGCAAAACCGATCATACATGCTTTTCCTTTCCTATTTTTTTATAAAATATTATTTGATACCAACTTTGAATTTAATCCATGATTGAAAATTCCAATTAAATTTAACCTCCGGTTAAATTCAAAGTTGGTGTCAAATGCTAGCTTATGAAAAGCTGTAGACAAGAATGTAAAATCGGTTTTGCTGTAAAACAGTTTAGGTTTTACAGCATATCAAAGTTGCAAAAAAGTCAATTTTCTACTGTCATTATTTCCGAAACAGTTGAAGATAGGTATATGACATTATACATGAAATATCTCTAGAATTTTCTGCAGAATCCAGAAATGTCATAATATACAGGGTGTCCCATTTAAAAAAAGATATTTTTTTATTTTTTAAATTTTTTGCAACATTCTGTATGAACAAAACTATGTTTTCTGAGAACTATTTTTCAAGCACTACACCTTTCCTATTTACATTTTTTTTATACACGGTGGCACAAAAAAGTTAAGAGGGGTGGGAAAATATACTCCTGGACAAAATTATCGCACCACCACTGCACATAAACTCCATAAGCAGTGGTGCGATAATTTTGTCCAGGAGTATATAAAAAATGACCCTGTACAAGCGCTTTTTAAAAAAATAAATGTGGCATCAGATATTTAGTCTGTTTCGTTTTAAATGGTACACCCTGTATAAATATCCATCAACATACAGGGTGTTTCTGAATATCATGTACAAACGGAAGGGGGTGATGCTTTGGTTTATTTTATGACTAAAATTCTAATAAACATAGGTCCGCGAACGCTTCGTTACCGATGTGATACCGGGTGTTGAAATTTTAAAAATGAACATGAAGAATATGGCGACGAGGGCGTGGCTTACTTCAAGATACCTATTGACAATGAGCAAGAATATGGCGGCGGGACCTCTATTGTTGCCACTTTAGGTAGAAAAAATTTATTTAGTCACTGTAATTCCATCTAGAAATTTGTTTTTTAATTTTTTTCTCGATGAGGGTCGGTGATTCGAAAAAACTACAAGAGAACAAAAAGTTTCCAAATAAGGTAGAAAAATTATTTTGTTTTTTAGAATCTACCAGCGGCGCACCGCATAAAAGTTCAGGGGCAGAAAAGGGGGCATAACCCCTTTAAAAAAAATCATCTTGTAGATTCTGGCAAACGTTTGACAAGTACAATCATTTAGCTTCTATTGCGTAACTTGTATTCCAAATTTGAGCTAAATCCCTCGAAAGTTGCAGCAGCTATAAAGAAAAAACTAAAAAAATATTAAAATTTCAACAACCTTTAGATCGATAATGAAGTGTTTGCGGACATATGTTTAGTAGGAATTTTACTCATAAAATAAACCAAAGAATTATCCCCTTTCGTTTGTATATGATATTTAGGAACACCCTGTATTAAGGACTGCACAAGGATCGTGAAACTTGAATGTGCACACACTGTGGTCCACTTCAAATTAAATGTAGCAGTGACTTCATAATTATTATCAGTATATTTTTTGTTTGTTTTTATAATTCTTTATTTTCTGTCTGTAGGATTGGAAGAAATAAAAATGGAGGAGAAGAAATCAAGATCAACAGTATTCCCCCTTGGTAAAATAAACACCATAATGAAGAGCTCATCAGACCATGAACATGCTACTAAAGAGTCCATAGTACTGGTGGCGAAAGCTACAGAATTGTTCATTCAAAAACTCGCACCAGAATGCTACAAAGCAAAAAATGGTAACAAGTTGGACTATGACCATATTATGGAAGTGGTACATGCTACTCCGAAATACAAATTCTTGAAAGATATTGTGCCAAAGAAAATCACTGTGCTTGAATTTAAAAAAATTATGGCCAGGAAAGAAGAAGAAAGAAGGAGGAAGGAAGCAGAAAATACTTCTTCTGATGATGATACTAGTGACTCCAGTGGATCCGATGAATCTAGTAGCGCAAGCGAGGAAGATGTAGCGCCTGCAAGCCCGGAGCAAATTAGTGACATACGCTAACTTGTAAAATGTCATAAAATGGAGAGTAAGATTTAAAAACTAATTTAGTTTTAGGTAACAATATTTTAAGTTTGCCAATTAATATTTATATCTATTTGCTTGAGTAATCTTAAGAGTTATAATGATAATGTGTTTATTATGCAAAAGAGCAGTTAAGGAGGAACCTACACAGATTTCTTAAAGGCTTTCAATAAGGTGCATTCTTTGTTGCTTGCAAAGCCGCAGAGTTTCTTGAAACGACGAAAACAAAATGTGAAGGTAATTAGTTATGTTTCAAATTAGGTATTATTGAATTAACCCTTCGTTAGTGTTCACTGAGAGTTACATGAGAGCTGTTCTGGCGTATATCATACCCCAATAAGAAATTCGATTGAAATGCGGATTTTTATTTTTTTTTAATTTCATTTTAAAGGATAAATATAATATTTTAAAATACCAAGTACAAGGTACACTCAAAGTTGTTTTTGACAAATGTCTAAAAAAATATCGTACGACTTGAATCAAACCAATTCTCGAATCAATTTCATTGAAGTTGAAAGATTTACAGTGTCACTACCATGTAAAATCCTGTACACAATAAGTTTCGTAAATAGTGTTCCGGGGTATACCATGCCCTAACTGTCTTTGCAGTAATCCGATTTCATACTAAAGGTTCAGAGAGACGCTACTGTGTGTGCATTCAATTACCATATTATGCATGAACTAAAGCTACTAGACGCTAGACGTCTGTAGCTGTTGCAATTTTAGTTTTACAGCTGTAAGTAGCCGTCATGGGGTATGATTCACCCCATAAAACTAATGAAGGGTTAATTGAATCATTTTGTGAATTGTATTGTATTGTATTGTACTGCACTGCAATGCGGTACTATTTAAAGGGGTACCGCAGTGCTTGCATTGTGGCTCCCTTCTATTTATATTGTTCATTGATGATCTTAGGATATTTTTTATGATTATCCATTTTTTTATGTTTGCGGATGCTCTTTTCCTCTCTTTAGAAAGGAACTGGAAACCCTACTAATATCGTTGAATTGGATAGGGAATATGTCGCAAGTTTTTCTATTATGTTCCTATGTTATTTATTAACTTTTAACTTCTTAATAATACAGATCTCTTGAAGGCGTTCGATAAGGTGCATTCTTTGTTGCTTGCAAAGCTTGACTTGACTGCTGTTCCTTGAAATAATGAAAACAAATTGTAAAGATAACTGTTCAAAATTAGGTAGGTTGGTGTTATTAAATTAGTTATGTCATTTTGTAAATTGTATTGTACTGTAATAAGGAAAGTAGATGAATAAAAAAATATATTTAGGTACTGTTGTCCCCTTTTATTTATGTTGTTCATTGATGATCTTAGGACATTTTTACGACTACCCAATTTTTAATGTTTGCCGATGATGTTCAGAAACTAGAAAGTAAATGCAATTATAGAATAGAATACGAAAAATATTTCGAGTTTTTTCATTATGTTCCTATGTTAATTAACTTTTTACTTTTTAATTTTGTTTATTTGACAATTCTGAAATATTGTTGATAATAATACTTATTACATTAGTAATAGGATTTTTCTCTAAATTTGTTTATCTGTTGATGAATGATCAAAAATAGCGTAGCAGAGGCAACTAAACATAGAACATTTTATAGGTAGCTATTTGATATTCAACATTTAAAATTTGTTGAAGCTGATGCTGAAGCAATTTCTTTCTGATAATGCATATTAACAATTTTAGGTAATAACGTGTTTCTGAGAATGAACTAACTCCAGAAATAATAATCTTTCAACTTTACTCAGGCCCTATGTAGATTGTAGATTGTTATGGTGGGGTGTTTAGGTTATTGACCTCTCCGCACTGCGACCTGCTTAGATCTATGTGCTTCCTCAAATATGGCTGCTCCAGATGGATGAGTCTCCGCAGACTCAGAGTCTTCTTCACAAAAGCGGCATAGGTCTGATTCTGTTTTGCCCTTTTTTTTCAGGTGGTAACCCAGAGGACAGTAACCCGTGAGGAGGCCCGTTAGCAGCTTTAAATTCGCTTTACTAAGGTAAGTCAGTTCCTTTGCCTGCATTGATTGAGGTGAGATGAGTTGTTTGGCCTGCCTTAGTCCTGGAAGCGTGTTCCAGAGGGAGGTTTGTTGAGCCTTTAACCAATTTTGCACTTCCCCTATTATATGGCTTTTCGTAATGCCAAAGGAAGGTTGTGGTCCAAGGAATGGTGTTGCAGCTCCTTGTCTTGCAAGTTGGTCCTGGTACCCATGACAGGGTGACCTTGTTGCGAGACGCCAGCTGCTTTAGGAGTTGTTGGCAGTCCCATACCAGTCTGGACTTTGTGACAAAGCTGCTTAGAGCTCTTAGTGCTGCCTGACTGTCGGAATTGATGTGGATCTTCGCTCTTCGCAGGTCTCTTTCGAGACACTTTCTAGCGCAAAGTTTTATTGCGAAGCCTACAAAGTGGGACGTATAACCCTGCTCCAGTCCCTTGCTCTGTTTTCGATCCGTCTGTATACCAGACAGATGACCCGTTCGGGAATACAGGTACGATATTTTCTCCCTTGCGCCCTCAATAGTCACTTTGAAGGAGTGTTCAAATTCGTACCTCTGTTGCATGTGGTCAACTGGTTTGGTGGTCACACTCACACATTTTTTCATATTGCTCATGTGGCCGACAAAGTCCCCTTCCTTTATTTTTTGGGAATTGTGCTATTCTTGATGCTCCCATGTAGGCCTCTTTTTTCACTATTATATATAGTGAAGGGAAGCCCAACATGACCTCCATTGCGGCGGTTGGACAGGTGTTCATTGCTCCTGTAATTGCAAGACACCTTTGTACAGCTGCCAATCGGTTTTGTGCTGTCTGTTGTTTTACTTTTGGCCACCACACACTATTGCAGCGTAGGTGACCATGGGTCTTATAACCATTGTAAATAAGACATTTTTGGTTTAGTCCCCAAGTCTTGCTGAATTATCTCCGGCATGTCCAATATGTGACTATTGCCTGCTCTTTTGAGATGTTGGTTCCAAGTGAGTTTCTGATCCAAGGTGACTCCCAGGTATTTGACCTCACTTGCGAAATTGATTTGTATCCCATTTGAGGTTGGGGCTGTTAGATTTAGCCTCCCTTTCCTTGTAAAAGGTACAATTACGGTTTTGTTGGGGTTGACGCCTAAACCCTCCGGTAGACACCATCTGATAATGACATTTAGGGCATTTTACATGAGGTCACTAATGATCCTATCATGCTTACCACTAATGATTACTGTGAGGTCGTCAGCATATCCTAGGACTGTGATACCTTCGGCGCTTAACGCGTTGAGAAGTTCATCTACTACCAGTGACCACAACAGTGGGGACAATACCCTTCCTTGGGGCATCCCTTGACTGCTGAGACCGTTGCAGACTGCAGAGTCACTTCTAATGGTTGCTTTGATTTTCCTATTCTCGAGCATGGCTTCGATCCATGCAATTACCGGTGTGAAGTTGGTGGCAAAAGATAGTAGCCAAATTTTCCGAAGATACCCGAACGCCCAGTGGCGTCGGGTCATATTTTAATCGACAGAAATTGTATTTTACCTCACTTGACTTAGTTTTCTAAAATTCTACTACAGTTACATATCAGCAAAAAAAACCCATATTCTTGGGGAAATTATATCAAGGGGTATACGAGACGGTATTTTTTTAAATGTTATTTTGTTTTTTAAAATATCTCAAAATCTGTTCGTTTCAAAAGATTCATATTTAAACCACAGTTAACTTAGGTGCTGATTCAATTTTGAAAAAATATTTCATCCCCAGCAACCCGGGACAAGGGGTTCAACTGGAGGTTGGAAACATATTTTTTGAATTATTTTTAAATTTCTCGAAATCTGCTCGTTTCTACAGATTTATATTTGAACCACAGTTAACTTAGCTGCTGATTCAATTTTAAAAAAATATTTCATCCCCAGCAACCCAGGACAAGGGGTTCAACTGGGGGTTGGAAGCATATTTTTTGAATTATTTGAAAATTTCTCGAAATCTGCTCGTTTCTACAAATTTATATTTGAACCACAGTTAACTTAGGTGCTGATTCAATTTTAAAAAAATATTTCATCCCCAGCAACCCGAGACAAGGGGTTCAACTGGGGGTTGGAAGCATATTTTCTGAATTATTTTCAAATTTCTCGAAATCTGCTCGTTTATACAGATTTATATTTGAACCACAGTTACCTTGGGTGCTGATTCAATTTTTAAAAAATATTTCATCCCCAGCAACCCGGGACAAGGGGTTCAACTGGGGGTTGGAAGCATATTTTTTGAATTATTTTGAAATTTCTCGAAATCTGCTCGTTTCTACAGATTTATATTTGAACCACAGTTAACTTAGGTGCTGATTCAATTTTAAAAAAATATTTCATCCCCAGCAACCCGGGACAAGGGGTTCAACTGGGGGTTGGAAGCATTTTTTTTGAATTATTTTCAAATTTCTCGAAATCTGCTCGTTTCTACAGATTTATATTTGAACCACAGTTAACTTAGGTGCTGATTCAATTTAAAAAAAATATTTCATCCCCAGCAACCCGGGACAAGGGGTTCAACTGGGGGTTGGAAGCATTTTTTTTGAATTATTTTCAAATTTCTCGAAATCTGCTCGTTTCTACAGATTTATATTTGAACCACAGTTAACTTAGGTACTGATTCAATTTAAAAGAAATATTTCATCCCCAGCAACTGGGGACAAGGGGTTCAACTGGGGGTTGAAAGCATATTTTTTGAATTATTTTTAAATTTCTCGAAATCTGCTCGTTTCTACAGATTTATATTTGAACCACAGTTAACTTAGGTGCTGATTCAATTTTAAAAAAATATTTCATCCCCAGCAACCCGGGACAAGGGGTTCAACTGGGGGTTGGAAGCATTTTTTTTGAATTATTTTCAAATTTCTCGAAATCTGCTCGTTTCTACAGATTTATATTTGAACCACAGTTAACTTAGGTGCTGATTCAATTTAAAAAAAATATTTCATCCCCAGCAACCCGGGACAAGGGGTTCAACTGGGGGTTGGAAGCATATTTTTTGAATTATTTTCAAATTTCTCGAAATCTGCTCGTTTCTACAGATTTATATTTGAACCACAGTTACCTTAGGTGCTGATTCAATTTTTAATAAATATTTCATCCCCAGCAACCCGGGACAAGGGGTTCAACTGGGGGTTGGAAGCATATTTTTTGAATTATTTTTAAATTTCTCGAAATCTGCTCGTTTCTACAGATTTATATTTGAACCACAGTTAACTTAGGTGCTGATTCAATTTAAAAAAAATATTTCATCCCCAGCAACCGGGGACAAGGGGTTCAACTGGGGGTTGAAAGCATATTTTTTGAATTATTTTTAAATTTCTCGAAATCTGCTCGTTTCTACAGATTTATATTTGAACCACAGTTAACTTAGGTGCTGATTCAATTTAAAAAAAATATTTCATCCTCAGCAACCCGGGACAAGGGGTTCAACTGGGGGTTGGAAGCATATTTTTTGAATTATTTTTAAATATCTCAAAATCTGCTCGTTTCTACATTTCTACGTTTCTCAATTCATCAATGTTAAGCCCTAAATATTTTAAAGATGTTACTTTCTGTAAAGGAATGTTGTTAATTTTAATATTCACGTTTTCTATCAATTTATTCTTGGTCCTAAACACTATAAATTTGTTTTTTTCAATATTTATTTTTAATTTGTTTGCATAAAGCCGATTAAGATAATTATCTAGGTCTTGATTAACTTGCGCCTCTAAATGCCCTCTATCTGACCCTGTATAAACCAAAGCCGTATCATCTGCAAATGTGAAATATCTGGCCCTAACAGGTGCCAACTTAAGATTGAGTACATAAATTGAGTAAAAAAGCGGCCCTAACACTGAGCCTTCCATCTTAACAAATTTTTGCCTATTACTTAAATCTGTTTTGATCAGATTTAAAAAATTTCCCTGAAACCCTAGACAATGAAGTTTAATCAAAAGTTTATCCAATGAAACGACATCGAACGCCTTCTTTAGATCTACAAACACAGATATAACTACGTTTTTTTTATCTAAATTTGCCGATACATAATTAACAAAGTCGAATGTACCTAGCTGATAGCGTATTGCTGTTCTTAATGAAACCATGCTGAAAAGGATCAACATTTAAATATTACATAAATCCGATGAAACGAGCAAATTTCGAGAAATTTAATAATAATTCAAAAAATATGCTTCCAACCCCCAGTCGAACCCCTTGTCCCGGGTTGCTGGGGATGAGATATTTTTTTAAAATTGAATCAGCACCTAAGTTAACTGTGGTTCA